AACTGTTTCCTTAGCAAAGGTTACTTGTGTTGTGTTATTTTTTCCTATATATGCGTATATCTCAAATGTCTCTTTCAGGTTAGTAAAGTGATTAAATTTATTTGATAGACTGTTTTGTAGGAAGTAAAACACTTTCTTAGCAATAGTCTGTAGATGTATGCTGTGCATGCCTAGGTCAGCACTGACTCATGCTGTATTTGAGCATATTCAAACTAAATTTCTCTGCTCCCCTTTCCCAAACCTCCTCCAGTTCATCTCCTTTGTTATTTTAAGTACTTTCAGTTCTATTATAATGTCATATATATGTGCTTTATATGAGGTTTTATATGTATTATAGATCCACAAACATGTGAATACATGAAATGTCTTTATTAGATTATTATTTAAAATTACTTTCCTAACAATAGCTATTATTATACTGTTTAAAATTAGAAAGAAAGGTTAGTTCGTGAGGGAAACTCTGCTAAAAGTGCATATATGCATGGGTCTAATCAAAATAAAAGGAAATCCTTGTTGTCTGTGTGCCCGTGTCAGTCAAGCACAGTTAGCATGACATGTCCTGCTTTGGGAGGAATTATTACCACTTCATTCTGATTTTCCTACTATTTAATGTTTAGTAACATCTAACTTGTCAATGATGACATATAAAAAGATAGAAAGCTATGAGACTTTTGCAAAAATAGGGTCAAACAAATGATAATGCATAGAGAAAATATCAATGCATTTTGTATAAGAAAATTGTCCTTAAGTTATAAAAATACTGATTTTAAATGAAGGAAGAAGTAATCTGGAAAGAATTAGAAGAAGAGGATATATATGGTCAAAATACATATAAAATTCTCAGAAAAATTATATGTATTTTGAAAAATAAAATAATTTAAAAATTTTTGTATACGGAAAGTAGTGAATTCTCTTAATTGCCTCTTATATGTGATTTGAAGAAATTAGAGATTGATTAGCTTCCTTGCCTGTTTTAAAGTTCATCTTGGAAGGAGCATACTTTGGTTAATATTTATTTTGGTTACATTTTATGTATGTGTGCACATGGCAGCAAGTGCCTACAGGGGCCAGAGGCACCGTTTAGCCCTGGAGCTACATTTACGGCTGTATGTGAGCCACATGCTGTGGGTAATGAAATTCAACTCAGTTTCTCCACATGCTATGGAAGGAGTGGTAACCAAGATGAAGAGAATGCAGTTCTCAGAAGTCGTAATCCTCAATCAAAACAGAACATATAAGACTTTCAAAAGACAGACCCCATGAAGAGCTCATCAGCCAGACTGTGCGGATCAACCTTGTTCTGAATGCCTCCTCACTTTGGCATGCAAGACCTGTGTTTCGAATATCTCCAAGAAAAGTCCAAGAGTATGCCTGTTTTAGAAGGAGAAAATGGTTAACTTAGTAAAATGCAACTTGGAGTTCTTTACTAACCTGTTATTCATATATCTGTTTATTCAAAAAATTGAACATGAACAAGCACTTTTCTGACATTTTTTAGATTCTATTTTATATTGTGAAACCGATCATCTGCAGGGTATGAGGTACATATGACAAACCTGGACAAGGGCACATAACATTAAAGGATAGGGCACCACTTTTTTTTATTCTTTAATTATACTTTATTCACTGTGTATCCCCCCTGTGGTTCCCTCCCTCCTCCCGTCCCAATCCCTCCTTTCCTCCACCCTCTGCATGTATGCCCCTCCCTAAGTCCACTGATAGGAGAGGTCTTCTTTTCCTTCCTTCTGATCCTAGTCAATTAGGTCTCATCAGGAGTGGCTGCATTGTCTTCTTCTGTGGCCTGATAAGGCTGCTTCCCCCTCAGGGGGAGGTAATTAAAGAGCAGGCCAATCCGTTCATGTCAGAGACAGTTCCATGTTCCTATTACAGTGGAACCCACTTGTATACTGAATTGCCATGGGCTACATCTGTGCAGGGGTCTTAGGTTATCTCCATGCATAGTCCTTGGTTGGAGTATCAGTCTAAGGAAAGACCCCTGTGCTCAGATTTTTTGGTTCTGTTGCTCTCCTTGTGGAGTTCCTGTCCTTTCCAGATCTTACTGTTTCCCACTTTTTTTCCTAAGATTCCCTGCACTCTGCCCAAAGGTTGCCCATAAGTCTCAGCATCTGCATTGATAGTCTGCAGGGCAGAGCCTTTCAGAAGTCCTCTGTATCAGGCTCCTGACTTGTTCCCTCTTTTCTCCTTCTTCTGATGTCCATCCTTTTTGCCTTTTTGGAAAGGAATTGAGCATTATAGCAAGAGTCCTCCTCTTTATTACTATCTTTAGGTATACAGATTTTAGTAGGTTTATCTATAATACATGTCTATATGAGTGAGTATATACTGTGTGCATCTTTCAGCTTCTGGGATAGCTCACTCAGGATGATCTTTTCCAGATCCCACTATTTACCCGCAAATTTCATGATTTCCTTGTTTTTTTTTTTTATTGCTGAGTAATATTTCATTGTGTAGATGTACCAGAATTTGTGCATCCATTCCTCCACTGAGGGGCATCTGGGCTGTTTCCAGCTTCTGGCTATTACAAATAAGGCTGCTACAAACATGGTTGAGCAAATGTCCTTATCATGTACTTGAGCCTCTTTTGCCAACCCTATATCTGACAGAGGACTAATATCTAGTATATATAAAGAACTAAAGAAGCCAAAAAGCAGCAAACCAAGTAATCCAATTAAAAAATGGGGAACAGAGCTAAACAGAGAATTCTCAATAGAGGAATATCGAATGGCAAAGAAACACTAAAAGAAATGCTCAACCTCATTAGCCATCAGGGAAATGCAAATCAAAACGACCCTGAGATTTCACCTTACACCCATCAGAATGGCCAAGATGAAAAACTCAAGAGACAACACATGCTGGAGAGGTTGTGGAGAAAGGGCAACCCTCCTCCACTGATGGTGGGAATGTAAACTTGTACAACCACTCTGGAAAGCAATCTGGCACTTTCTCAGACAACTAGGAATAGCGCTTCCTCAAGATCCAACTATACCACTCGTAGGCAGCAATAGATCACTACTTTTAAGACATAAAAACTGGATCATTAAAAGTCTTCAATGGAAAAAACAAGTTCTTACCCTCGTTGGTAAGTGAACTAGAATCTCCCTCCAGCCAATTTCAGCTCACTTGTTTTTAAGCAAAGAAAACACTTTTTTTTTTTTTTTTAGTGAATTATAATATATATACAAAAAATCTTGAAATCACAAGAATGCAATTTACTAATTTTTTCAGGTATTTACACTTTTTCGTTAGGCCTTTGACTAGCCCCTAAAACTCTGTACCTTTATTCCTTTTATTCTCCACTTTCCAAATTCTCACTGAATACCGCAGAAATGATTGGAGCCTTATTCTATACTGACAAGCTTAAAGAATCAATGGCAGGGATTCACAGCCTGTACGTCCTACATGTGGTTTTGATGAAGTATATAGCACAGAAGCCTGTTAGGAAACCTATTAGGATGACCTTGCAAAGATTCCTAGAGGACTGCAGAAGTCATGCCAGCAAATGAAACTAAAACACTTATGGTGATGGCTAACAGGGTTTTCTCACAATATGTTTCTAAAAACTATTTGATACAGGTCTTCAGAGATTCTTCACTGGCCGATGATTATTCCAGGTGGCTATCATGGCATTTGATATGATTCCCACACCCCACCATAAAGCACAAGCAGATCATGTGTTGTAGGCACTGTGCAGCCACAAACTACTCCACAGTATAAAGATGCCAGTACCCGTTTAGTGTTTGGAATTCCAAGCCTCTAACATTTTGAAAATACAACACTCCTTACACTCATCTTAAACACAGGCTGATGGGCTTAAATAATGAATCTAAACACAGATATTTAGAATAGCACAACAGCAAAAGTAAGTGCACTTAAAACAAACTTTCATTAATACGAAACAAGCCTGTCACTAACTTTATATTCTCCCTAATTTAATAAAGGACTAGGCAAGCATATAAACATGAAAATTACAAATGGTATTTTAATTTTCCTCACCCACCATCATTGTCCTTTAGCAGGTTACAGTTTGTAAATTATGTTTTTAATCTCAGTTAATCTCATTTGACATTACATAACAGTTAAATAGCTAAAAGAAAATTGCTGCCTCCAAATACAAACCCTGGCGTAAATTTAGTTAATTTTTTAAAGTTTTTTTTTCTTTTTACTATGAGTTTAAATATTTCAAATTTTGAAAGCTGTGTTACATTCATATATGAACACATACAGAGCTACTTGCTTTTCAAGTCACTGAAGCACAATGCTTGTGAATGTATGTTAATAGTTTAATGTTCAAGTATCCCTTTGATGAACTATGAGTGTTCAAGAGGGAACGCTTGAGGGAATTATTCCTTTGTTATAAAGAAACCTGTCTTTAATGCTTGATAAGAATGATCTTCTGAACTGAAAGCTTGGGTTAGAAGGGAAGGTTTCACTTGGCGGTAGGGTTGTTTAATGTCACATAGGAGAACTGAGGAAGATAAGATTTCTCTGTCACTTTCAACCCATGAAGCATCAGCCAAATTTGCACTCAGGGTTTTTTTTTTTTTTTTCTTTATATGCTCACAAAACGTTCTATAGCTCTAAGAATAGACAGAGGAAAGAAGGGCAACAGTGATTGGCTTCTAAGGAAATCTCAAGCATTCTGCTCATGGGCTTGCACTACTCATTGGAAGGAAAGCTGAGAAATCTTAAGTTTTCAAGTAAAAAAAATAGAGAGCTTATCAACTAACATTGCATTGCATCAGTATAAAACTTAACCTGCCTAGAAGGATGAAATGGAACCCGGCTTAGAAACAGAGACAGAGAGAGGAATCATGGTATTATCAGAGAAGTCTCTTTTGTATATTATACAAGCTGATTTTAAAATTTCTTTTCCCTATTATGTATGACTTTTCCATATTGAGCAAAATAGTATCACTTATAAGAAAGAAAAAAAATATCTCATAGCATCATTTAAATGTTTGGTTCTTCCTTTTTCCTAGATGTGTGCCACCACTATTGTGTGAATTCAGAATCATGTACCATTGGGAATGATGGAAGTGTTGAATGTGTCTGTCCAACACGCTACGAAGGACCGAAATGTGAGGTTGACAAATGTCTGCGATGCCATGGGGGACACTGTATAATAAATGAAGACAGTGAAGATATAGTTTGCAAGTAAGTAAACATCTGACTTGATTTATGAAGCCTCTAAATCAAAGACACAAGGTTCAGAAATAAACTGTGAAATCACTGTAATTTTCTTATTCTAAAATTTTGCATGTCCATCAGTTTGCTTTGTAAAGCTAGAAATGAAGTTCAATTAAGCTCACTCTTTAATACCTATGCAAATACCCGATTTACATGACCACCAATGGTATTTTGAGATTACTCCAGATATAAAATATACTCAAGAAGTAAGCAATAGCAGAAATATATTCAGAAACATCTATGTAGAACTAAGGATAGGACAATGTTTGCCTATGGTTTGCCAATGGTTTAATTCATAGCAACAGAAGAAGAGGAAGGGGAGGAGTGGAAGAAAGATCAGAGGAGGAGGAGAAAAAGGAAGAGGGAGACAAAGAGGAGGAATAGGATGAATGGTGGTGGCAGGAGACACAGAAGAGATCAAGATGAAAGAAAAAGGCAATAATAGGTAACTAAAAGATCTCAGGGTGCTAGCTCACAAGTCCAAGGTCACCTTGGTATGCAAAACCAGTGACATGGCTCAGTAGGTAATCCTAGAACCACCTGTATTTTCACATATTATTTATTTTACGTTTTATTTAGTTTTAGATTTTTATTAAGTAGTTCTATTTTGACAATAAAAAGTTTCAAGACATGGCAGTGCACACGAGTAATTGTTACAGTCAATAAGGTGAGGTAAGGAAATACATAAAATTGTAGGACAAGTCTGATCATATGAGTTCAGTCGCCCCACCTGCGTGTTAGAAGGAGAGAAGCAACTCCCAAAAATTGTCTTCTGAACTCCTTACCCAGAGCCTATTGGATGCTTAGATGACAGCTGTAAGCATGTGGAATGTTAGCATAGGCTTTTAGTTATTTCTCTTTAAGAGCCACAGTGAGTAGACTGAAATTTTGTGATTTTTTTTCCTGATTAAATATCTTCTCTTTTGAGATTATAATTTTATTTTATTGGGTTTAGTTGATCTTTTTCAGGGAGAAGTAACATATACCTCCAATGGACATAAGCACTAAGATATTTCTTTTCTTGTTGCTTTTTTTTTTTTTAATTTGTCTATAAGTAAATGGGACTAAGTAAATGAGAGCAGAAATGAGGAGCTGAGGCTCATGCTCTTCAGTTTGTATCATGAAACAAATTCTTCCCATGAGGTGGAAGGTCAGTGTTCATGCCAAAGTACATTGAACAACCCTCTAAAAGCAGGGTCTGTATAGGACTGGATTCTGTCATTGACTTTGGTTAGGAATGTAATGAATGAGAGAAAAAGACAGAACAGTATGCCATAAAGGATCCCTGCCACTGGGAACTTAGGGGTTGTAAGATGAGTTACGTCACTCTGGCAAACAAGATCCAATAAAGTTTTATTATAGGCAATGTCGACAAGTTTTATTTATTTACTTGTTTTATTCATTCTCACTTTAGAATTTACTGTAAATGTGCTGTGTGTTATCTTTATGAATGATATATGCTAAACCTAGCAATTTGGATAATTTAAAAGTATACTCTTTATAAGTAAAGTAATTAAAATATAACCGATATTTCTTCAATAAGTACATAAAATCAAAATGAATCTTCACATGTATCTTCCATGTCTCGTGTCTATGAAAAATTCAACAATTCTTAATTATGAAAGAACTTGACTTCAGTTTGTAGATGGAGTTTTTTCTTTTTGTTTTTTGTATTTTAGCTTTTTTGTTTTAAACAAAATAAGATATAATAAGATAAAACAAAACCATCACATCAAAGTTGTACCCTGTAAATCAACAGGAGGAAAAGAGCCCCAAGAGAAGTCACAAGAATCAAAGACCCACTTGTTCACACATTCAGAAGTCGCATAAAAATACTAAACTGAAAGCTGTAATATATATGCACTGTGGACCCTGTTTCAGACTAGTGAAGGCCCTGTTGCATCAGCGATACAAATTCATACGAGCCTTGCTCACTTGATTTAGAGGGCCTAGTTATCCTGGTGTTCTCCATCCCCTCTGGCTTCTACAATTTTTCAACTCTATTCTTTACATGATCTCTGACCTTTGAGGGGAGGGATTTGATGAAGACCTCCCACTAAGAGCCATGTATTCCAGTGTCTCACTTTCTTCATAATGTCTGGCTGTGGGTCTCTTTATTTGTTCCCAGGTGGTGAAGATGGAAGTTAGGTAGTGATCTATGAGTAGAGCAGAAGATAATTAGAAGTCATCTTTTAATCTTATTAATTTTACTTTTATTTATTTATTTATTTATTTTATTTTTAAATTTTATTTATCATTTATTTATTTATTTTGAGACTCGATTTCTCTGTGTAGCCTTGGCTGCCCTGAAAATTGCTCTGAATAACAAGTTGACATTGAAATCATAGAGATTTTCCTGCCTCTGCCTCCCAAGACACGGACACCCAGATTACTTTTTAATTTTTATTTATTTACTCATTTATTCATTTGATCAGTAGTAATTTGTTTTAACTTAGGTCTCTGGGCTAGTCTCCGCTTCTTAGTCACCTAAGAAGTGCAGAATTTGGTGTGATCTCATGGCAGGCTCCATAAGTCAAATCAGATATTGGCTGGTTACTCCCACTAGCATATTGTGCAGGCAGGACAGAATGTGGATCAAAGGTTACATGACTTGGTTGGTGTTTGTGTTATATTTTGGTTGCCTGCAGTGTACTTTCCCGTACCCAAGACGTTAGAAGATAAGCATAAATGTTCTATGTAGACACCAGATCAAACGCTTCATGTTTGACGAGATGTGTGGGTGTTATCTTCAGCAATGGGGCCTTGCTGTTAGTCTGTGGAGAGCAATCTGTTGCCTTGGAAACAGTCTGCATGGGTCGAGGATTTCCATGGGACCCCGTTGGGCAACAACTCAATTGGATGGAACCTAGTCAGGGTTCTATGAGCTAAAAACACAATTTTAGATTAGATCCTTGAAAAAGTTCTGTTATTCTGTGGTGAATATAATCAAAATAATAGTGTTTCTCTTAATAATTGGAGGAGAAAAAGAAGAAAATAAAAAATGTTGAGACTTAAATATCCATATCATTATATATATATATATATATATATATATATATATATATATATACTCTTTAGAACTATCTTCAAATTTTAACACTGACCGAAGTTAATGCAGCTAGTACATTATCAGCAGCCATACAACCTACAGAAACACAGGTGAACATACACATAATAATGCAATTGTGGACACCAGGGTTAATAACCTATCATTTTTCAGGCATCTTAATGTCATTAGGAAATTCCCTAAAAGGCATGTACTGCAATAGTTATATACCTTAAGGAATATAAAACGACCAGTTACTGAAACTGCATTCTGACTTTATCATCAAGATCATGTCTAGAGTTAGGAAAGGGTGTTTTACAAAAATCATTCATCATGGAAAGTTATGAATTGTTAATGGACCTGAAGCCTGATTTCATTATCATGGTCATGTCGGGACTTATGAAAGAACTGATTTTGCTATCAGATTTTGACAAACACCAGCATGAAATTACGATCCACTCTAAGGCAACATGTGTACAGCTGTCTTACAGCACTTCATGAAGAACATCAGATTCTCTAGTAATCTTGAACACAGGTATACTTCTTTCCCCCATTTTCTCAGGGTTATTCCATGAACAATACAGTTGTTTGTTTAAAATATAAATCAGTGTGGTTTTTTTCTCATACCATTTTCCCATGAAGGGAGATAGTATCTGTTCTCATCTCAGACATGTAATTAGCCTCTAAGGTACAGTTTTCAAGAACAACCTGTATTACTCCTGCACTCTTAGTTTTAGATTTTCACTGACTAGCTCTATTTTGACAATAAAAAATTTGAAGATATAGTAGCTCATATCTGTATGTTCTGCATTCAATACAGTAAGGAAGTAGGACTTAACATAAAATTCTAGGCCAGTGTGGTCTTCAGAGTAACACCTTGAACAAAACATAACAAAACAAAACAAAACAAAACAAAATGTTTGGCATTGGGTTTAATATGTATTTCACATTTGAACTAACTTTACTTATTTTCAATTACATTTAATTGTATGCATGTACAAAATGTGTGGGGTACATTAATGTCACATTATGTACATGGAGGCCAGTGGACCACTTGTGAGAGTTGCTAGTCATGTGCTTGGGTCATCATCTTACCTTCATCTGCTCAACCATTTTTTCAAACCTAAGACCACATGGCCACCTGACATTTCCCAAATGCTGAAGCAGAACCAAGATAATTCCTTGGGATTACTGCCTAACCAGTTTGTGTAATTTTTAACCTTCAGGGCCAATGAATTCCTGTCTTGAAAGAGGTGGATAGTGTTCCTGAGGATGAAACACAATGTTGTTCTCTGACCTCGATATACACAACATAAATGCATATACAATTGTACAAATACATGTTCCTCCATAATATGAACAAATACATGTACTTAAAAAACAGTTGTAATCCCAACATTTCTCTCTAGAAAACACTAGAGGGAGAACAAATTAGTGTAGTACTTCTGTAGTGCAGCATATAACTCACACTGATGTTACCAAGTCCTAGTTAACTGAAAAAGAAATTCATAATGCGCTTTTAACATGTAAATAATAAACAAGGGTATTTTCTAAATGTGTGTTTAGCTGCTTTGCATTTTGATCAAAGGGGTTGAAAATTAGCAAAATATCAAAATAATCCATTATTATAATAAATAAAAGTTTGCCTCCAATAATCTACTGCCTAAATCTAAAATTAGATTTAGGCAGACACTATAATGTTCTGAGATGATTCACATTCTAGTCTGCAGGTATTTTGTGTCATCCCTCAACACCACTAATGCTGGTAACAATGTTTTCTCTTTTTCCTGTATTTGCTGCAGCTGCACTAATGGAAAGATTGCCTCTAGCTGTCAATTATGTGATGGCTACTGTTACAATGGTGGCACATGCCAGCTGGACCCTGAGACTAGTGTACCTGTGTGTGTGTGAGTATCTACTGATGTGGGTAACTTGAGACAGGACTGCATGTAGGCAGTCTCTCTTGCAATGTTTTCATTTCTGGGACTATACTTCTTAAGTGAGTACGCCATGAACATCTCATTGGCTTGTGAGCTACCTAATTACTTTCTCATCAGTTCGTTAAAGACCTCATGAAGAGTACCTCATTCAGTTCCTAGCATCACATCATTTCAGACATTCATAGTTTTTCAGCTTGGAAATGCTGGGAAAACTTCTGGTTTTAGTAACCCTATTAGCTATGTGAAACAAACAGATGTGTGTGTGTGTGTGTGTGTGTGTGTGTGTGTGTGTGTGTCTGTGAATTCCTCAGTACTTAGAGCTATCCTTTTTAAAAGACCTTCCTGTTTTCAAATATATAATGCTATTTGATGTTTCTATCAGGTTCAGAGTATGACATGATATAAACCAATTAAGCCCTCGGCTCTTTCAGAGTACATTATGTACAGCTGGGTTGCTAAAGACCCAGGGAAAGCAGAGATTCTCAATGTTCCTATAAAATCTGTAATTTAATATTTTCCTCTTCTCAGCCTGCTGATTTTCTTCAGCAGACCACCTAAAGCTGTTTTCACTGATGTGGTCAATGCATTGAGTTTTGTTCTAACTGCGTAAGGGGATGGTGGCCACACATCAATCCAATCAGCATCCCGTTCCACAACTCATTAGAGGAACATGTATCCAGTGTGTATTTGAGGGAGGCAAGCATTCCTGGGAAGATTTTCCTCTTATGTTACTCTCTATGTATAACATAAATTTAAGCATATATGGCAAAAAAAAAAGTCAGACGCTTTATTCAGTTGTATTTTACTAAAATTCTGCAGATGCTCTGTGGGGTTTAAAAGTCAGCGCTGTGACCAGAAAGAGAACCCTTGTGATCACTACTGTCAGAATGAGGGGATTTGCACTTTAACCGCGTTTAATGAGCCGAGATGCAAGTAGGTTTAACCTTCCACTTACCGCCGCGCTTCCTATGACATCATTTCAGGCCACAGTCCATTGGTTTCAATCATGCACATCCACATACATTTCACGGTGTATACTTAATCTCAGGGCTCATCTCTGTCACATGTAATTAACCTGTGCTTTGCTCACAGATAACTGTGTATACCGCAGACTGCTAGAGTGTGTAGAAATATAGCATGTGATGAAAAAGCTGCTTATCCTGCTTCATAACAACACGTATCCAAGAAGGACAGAAACAGCTGCTTTATATTTGGAATAGTCATTTTTTTTTTAGGTTAGACATTTTTATTTGAAAAACTGACTGGATAATATACTGTTTGTTTCCTAAATTTATGTTGGAAACTGTACAGCTTGCTAATAAAAGAAATAATGCATGCCAAACATTTCAAGAAACTTAATTTCTTTATAGTTTACATCATTCTTCCTTTATTCAACTTGTGGTGACTTGGGTATCCATGGAAGGCAAATTCCTATTTTCTCATTCCAGGATCACCTTTGGACTTATCACAGTAGATTTTACTTTTGCCATGTGGACTAGAGCTGTAGGGATAACCCATATCTGATGTGTTTCTTTTCTTTCTTTCTCTTTTTTTGAAGGTTATAAATGCTTTATTATTGTTATTTTTTTAAACAGAGGAAGGTTGGGGTAGGTGGCCACGGGGTGATTTTATCACCAAGAGCTGGAGTCTAGGCTCTTTCACAGAATGTAGGCAGAGCCCTCCACATAGCTATGTGATTCTTCTTATAATCCAGCTTAGTCACTGAAAGAGGATTCACTATCTGAACTCTCCTCTATGGCTCTTTCACTCTCACCTTTAGGCACTGGAGCATCTGGCTTCTCAAGAAGCTCTGGATCTAGTCCTTCTGATATCATTTTGTTTCTTAATACTCAGTGTTAAAATCAGCAGTTCTGATTGCCACGTTAGAGCATCCTTGCTGGAAGTGGGGTCAGCCTGCCTAATAAAAGCAAAAATCACAGTCACGTTAAAATTCCAGCATTTCATTACCAAACCTCAGCTATTTTGCTGCAATAAGCTGTTAGGGTTGTGAGTCAGAAGCCTAAAAAATGGAGAAAGCTTTTTTTTTTTATAAACGTAGTCCCTTTTAAACCAAAAGGGGATGTTCTGAATATCAGGGGCCCTAAAATAAAAGTTTTGGTGCCACTTCAGGGAGAAAATGCTTAATTCTGTGTTTGCATAGAGGGAAGAATAGACAAAAAGTGATTCTTCAGTTACTGAGTTCAGAGTAATCGTTGGCCAAAAGATAATGGGAGACTCATTTTAGGTTAGTTTTATCATTTCTGTAATCTCTGTCCCCAAAATAAGCCTTGCTTTATGCTGTCAGTGTTCCACTACTCCTGGGCAAAGTCTGCACACCATAGGAGCCCTGGCTTGACTCTTTATCATAAACACATACCCAGATTACTTCCTGTGCAAGAATTCCTTATGTCACCACAGTAAGATACTCAAATGGCTGCAGCAGCCCACGGTAATATTTAATTTTAAGCAGCCAGCACCAGGGACTAATAATCAGAGTAGCTGGTAAACTCAGGTGGAAAATGTAGTAAATACAAGAGCTTAGGGTCTGTCTTTTATTTTTATATAGCCATATCTCTGTATCTACTTGTCCTTAAGGAAGTTGGGTCTGCACTTGGACTTTTCTATTCCCTTCATTTTTTTTTTTTAGTAAGCAGAAGAAGTAATTATAGTAAATATGATGCACACTTCAGTTAACACATAAGAGAAAGTCATATTTTCATTTGCCCAATAAGTCATTAAACAAATATAAATAACCAATGGGTAAAACATTTGTCAATTTAGATAGCTTAACAGTCATAAAACCTGACTCAGAAGTAGACTGTGTAATCCCCACATTTTATCTGCACTCTTATATTGTCTAACTGCTGTTCCCTGTTCAGGGTGACACACTGTGGTCGCACAAGCCTGACCACCCATGCCCCATTTGGGAACTCTGAGCTGTATCGCTTCCTCTGTACTGTAAACATCCCAATATATAATGCTGAAGAACCTAAAATTCATTTTGATAGATGAGTGGCTTTTAAGAAAAAATAAAATAGTTCATTAATTGTTACAGTAGAAAAATGATGAAAGTGCCATGTAAAAACAGCTGAATAAGGATTAATTCATAAATCCAAATGAGGGAGTCTAAGGCCTTTTAGGTGTTAATGATATTTTGAAACAAAAATTGTAGGAGTTTTAGAAGTGACAGAGAGCTGAAAAGGTGAGGAAAGTGTAGCATGTTTAAAGTAGACTTGACATGGAAGCCACAGAACAGGTTATTGAGGGCAAAATACCACTGGGCAAGGATGCTGAAAACACTGTATGAGAGGTATTTGCTGCTGCGAAGATTAACTGAGAAGAAATACAAACCGGAGAAGTTTATCCAGGAGCAGTTTCAGTCCCACAAAGATGCGCATTATATGTATCTCACTGTATTGGGAAAGGCATCTGTTGAGAGAAGTGTTTGAAGCCCTTATACAGAGAGAATCCACAAAAGGCGGGGAACTTTAAGGTGAGGCTGTAAGGAACAGCCAAGATTTCCTCCTCATTGTTTAGTTTAGGAATTCAATGAAGGAAAAAAGAATATAAGACCAGAGAAACATATTTTTACAATGTGAAATACTGAGCCATTAAGAATATTGTTCTTATTGAAGCCCTGTTTTTAAGTGCTACAGTAGTAGGAAAAGAAGATCGGATTTGCTCTCATGTTCATGGCTCCTTGGAAGGAAGTTCTTAGTATATGAAAAGTCAAATAAATCTTAGGTATTTTAGCATAGTTATAATTTCTATAGTTCTAACATGGAACTAAATGTAAGTAGAGCTTAATAGCACCTATAGTCCTATACAATACAAAACAATATACCTAAAGTGCTACACAGGTCCTCAAGTATCTTTCTAACAAACAAATCTTATGTGGGGAAATATTTAGGAAAGAGGATTTCAGCCTCATCTCTAATGGCAGTGATTCTAATCTTCAGGGAAAACATATGTACTATTTCATCTAAAACCTTTATAGCAAACAAAAGCTGCTACCAGAGACTCAATCTGGTGCTTGCTTTAGTTTCAGTGGCATATCATTTTTCATTTCCTCATGGAGAAAAAAAAAAAAAACTATTTGAATTGTATGAGACTAATACACACAGTTGGAAAGTCAATAAAGTATTCAGATCTTATGAAGGTGACAGCTCACTTTTTCTACCTAGAAATTTTATTGCTATATCCTTCAATTTAGGGAACATATCTGTTGGTTGAAAGCCTTCACTTTTGTCTCTAGATAGCCACTTTCATTTATTGCTTTGTGCGTAACAAAAAAAAAATGGCAAAGAAGAGAAAAGGGATAAAACATAGTATATTTTTACATTTGCTTGGAGAAAGTTTTTCCAGTTTTAAAGTAGACTATAAAAAATGTTAAAACTATATTTTTAAATTTTCCATAATGTTATTTTGATAATTATTAAGTCCATTTTATTATACATTAAAATATTAATAAAGATTATATTTAAAATTTTATATTTTATTTCATGTTTTGTATGTGTACCACATCCAAGGCTGATATCTACAGAGGCCAAAAAAGGGTAGTGGATTCCCTGAAAGAGGAGTTCAAGATGATTGTAAGCCACCATGTAGATTCTGGGAATCAACCCTGGTCCTCTGAAAGTGGTCTTCTGGAAGCTGGTGTTAGCTACTGAACTATCTCTCCAGCCACATAAATGAAAAATTATAGAATTCAACAGCAAGTTTTCCATGCCTCCCTGAGTCTAAGAGTTTCCCATAGATTTAGTCATACTTATACGAGATCCAGGCTTAGCATGTTACATGGACCTCTCTCCATGGTATTAAGTCATAACAATACCCATCGTTCTTTCAGCCATCCACAAGTTTGGGCTTTCTCTGTGTCCTCTATTCCACATGTGCCATTCCATACACACATAGCATGCACCTACAGCCTCTGTAAAAAAGCCGCATGCTGCACCTCACTGCCCTTG